GATGGTAATACATATTAATAAAAACTTATGGGGAAGCAAAGACATATTTCAACACAAAGTTCCCACAACTGCTTTAATAAATAGACACCATTTTGCCCCAAAGGTACCATAACACTGCAGGGAAAAAAATTTGGATAATTAACCTGTCTCATTAACTTGTTGTCTTGACTTTTTTAATGTGAGACTTGGTTTTCAAAAAATTATCATTTTGTTAGAAATAAATAAATTCCTTTCTACCTGCAAGAACAAAGGGGGACAGCTTCACACAAGGACAATATGACAATGCCCTTCAACAAAGTTTTAGATCTTTTTTAATTTAAATTTTACCTCTTTAAGTAATATAGTCACATGGTACTCTGAATTTATTTTAATGAACAAAAAAGCATGTCCAAGCTGTAAGTCTCTGAATTAGGCCTTGACAGAACAAGCTCAAAAACTTAACATTTATGAATAGTTTGGAACCTGACATCTAAATCTGGTCTGGCATTGACAAATAAAAATGCTTGTTTACTTAGAGCCTCCTCCCTGAAACTGTTTTCCATCTGTAAACAAGGAGGCTGAATGAAATCATCTCTCAGGCACCTTTTAGTTCTCATTTCTAGGATAGTCCTATAGAACAAAGTTTTTAAATTCAGTAACTATTGTTATGACTATAGAAAGTGGCACGCCCTAGCTTTTCACAATTAAACTAAACAATAATAAAGGCATGTTATTCATTGTAAAATTTCTATATGTATTATAAAATGTTTCTACTCTATCATTATTAGATTCTCAGTTAAGACAATTGCATGGCCTACTGATTTTTCTTTACCATCATAAGCAATATATCTACAGATTAGTGAATAATCTAATTAGAGGAATAAATTATTCCTCTTCTTTTCAAAAGTTATACTACAAAAACTAAGCTATAAAACTTTTGACAGATAATCTTTGTTAATGAATTACTAAAAGTAAACCATAGTAATAATTCGCCAAGATGAAACTTCACAATTACTTATGTTCCAAAACAAACCATAAGATTTTTCATTTTCCCTCATTTTATTAAATATATAAAAAGGAAGAAACAGAACTAGAGACAGATGACTGGGAGAAAGAGGAAGAGGAGAAAGGACACAACAGGTAAAAATTCTTGTACTATAGCTTGAAAATTCTCATTTAATTAAAAACAAAAGCAATAAATTTGGAAGAGATGCCTAAAACAAACACAATAAGGCATTTTGTGTTATATCACAGAAACAAAACCTACAGATCTTATAATTTCCTCAGTGTGGTAAGGCACGCATTTTCCATATTTATCTCGCATATAAAGTCTACAAAAATGCTGGTGAGAGCAAAAGATTTATAAAATGAACCAAAAAATAGCTTTTTAAAAAACCTTCACAAAACACTTTGAAAATATTCACCAAACGAAATATGCATACATTTTTGTATGTAACTCAGAAGTTAGTAAATAGTTCCACAAAGCTTAAACAATAACACCAAAGTGGTTATGCATTAATAATTTTAAAAGGCTACATTTAAAATCCTTTTGAAAACAACTGTTTAATCTTGCCATGTTATAACTTTAACAGTATTAAGTCAGAACCTATTCAAACTGAAAGAGATCAAGCCAGAGAGTTCGAGTGACTTGCGTGGGAGGTGCAATGTCTGTGTGTTCCACGACACCACAGATGGAATTTAAAAGTCAGCAAAACAAAATAAATTAACATGTTTAAGTGTTTTATCACCAAATCTAGTAGGAAATTCATTACTGATAAAAATGTAGTTATGAGAATTTACTGGGAATGCAAACATAAAGGTTTTCAAGTTAATGGCTTATCTTACTGCACATGCCATTAAAAAACTAAACTAAAATTTGATATAAAAGAAAATGAACTACTTTTCAACCTGAGATTGTTCTTCACTGTACCATCCTTTGGTACATCTATAAATCTTTTTTCTCAAAATAATGAAATTAAGAATTATTTTCTAAGTGGAGCAATGGAATATTGGGGGGGCAAAAAATGGAAACCTAGTTTATCCAAAAATTACCCATCAGTAACATCTTCATCAACCTAAATTTGACTACAGAGTATCTCCTTTTATTGCTCTTTGTTTTATTGGACTTCACAGATATTACAGTTTTTACAAACTGAAGGTTTTTGGCAACCTTGTGTCCAACAAGTCTATTGACACCATTTTTCCAACAGCATATGCTCGCTTCACATCCCTATGTCACAGTTTGTTAACTCTTGCATTGTCTCAAATTTTTTCATTATTATTATTATTTCTGTTATAGTGATCTGTGATCAGGGATCTTTGATGTCACTATTGTAATTGTGTTGGGGCACCACAAACCACGCCCATATAAGATAGTTGTAAGACAGGGAACTTGGTCAGTAACGGGTGCTGACTGCCCCACCCACCTGCCATTCCCATCTCTCACCTGCTCTTCGGACCTCCCTATTCCCTGACACACAACAAACAATACTAAAATTAGGCCAATTAATAATCCTAAGGAAGAGTCACACATCTCTCACTTTAAATCAAAAGCTGGAAATAACTGAGCTCACTGAGAAAGGCATGTCAAATGTCCAGATAGGCCTCTTGTGCCAAACAGTTAGCCAAACTGTGAATGCAAAGGAAAAGCTCCTGAAAGAATTAAAAGTGTTACTCCAGAGAACGTAAGAATGATAAGAAAGCAAAACAGCCTTATTGCTAATATGGAGAAAGTTTGAGTGATCTGGATGGGTGATCAAACCAACCACGACATTCCCTTAAGCCAGTGCCTAATCCAGAACAAGGCTCTAACTCTCTTCAATTCTGTGAAGGCTGAGAGAGGTGAGGAAGCTGCAGAAGAAATGGTCAAAGGCAGCAGAGGATGAATCAGAAAGTTTATGGAAAGAAGCTGTTTCTATAACATAAAAGTGCAAGGTGAAATAGCAAGTGCTGATGTAGAAGCTGTAGCACGTTATCCAAAAGATCTAAGATCATTAATGAAGGTGGCTGGCTACACTACACAAAAGATTTTCAATGTAGACAAAACAGGCCTCTATTGGAAGAAGGTGCCATCTAGAACTTTCATAGCTAGAGAAAAGGCAATGCTGGGCTTCAAAGCTTCAAAAGACAGGCTGACTCTCTTATTAGGGGTTAATACAGCTGGTAACTTTAAGGTGAAGTCAATGTTCATTTGCCATTCTGAAAATCATAGGGCCCTTAAGAATTATGCTAAATCTCCTCTTCCTGTGCTCTAAAAAAGAAAAAAAAAAAAAAAAAAAAAGCCTGGAGGACAGCACATCTGTTTACAACATGTTTACTGAATATTTTACTCCCACTACTGAAACCCACTGCTCAGAAAAAAGATTTCTTTCAAAATATCACCGTTCATTAACAATGCACCTGGTTACCCAAGAACTCTGATGGAAATACACAATGAAATAATGTCGTTTTGACACCTGCTAACATAACATCTATTCTGCAGCCCATGGATCAAGGAGTAATTTAGACTTTTAAATCTTACTGCTTCAGAAATACATTTCATATGGGTATAGCTTCCATAGTGATTCCTCTGATATGGGCAAAGGATTGAATATTCTAGATACCATCGACGACATTCACAATTCACGGGAAGTCAAAATATCAACATTAACAGGGTTTTGGAAGTTGATTTTCAACCCTCATGGAAGACTTTGAGGAGTTCAAGACTTCAGTGGAGGAAGTAGCTGCAGAAGTGGTAGAAATAGCAAGAGAAGTAGAATTAGAAGTGGAGCCTGAAGATGTGACTGAATTGCTACAATCTCATGATCAAACTTGAACAGATGAGGAGTTGCTTCTTAGGGATGAGCAAAGAAAGCGGTTTCTTGAGATGGAATCTACTCTTGGTGAAGATGTTATGAACACTGTTGAAGCTACAACAAAGAATTTAGCATGTTATATAAACTTGGTTGATAAAGCAGAGGTAGAGTTTGAGAGGATTGACTCCATTTCAAAATAAGTTTCTACTGTGAGTAAAATACTCACAACATCCCATGCTACAGAGAAATCTTTCAAAAAGGAAGAGTCAACTGATGCAGCAAACGTCACTACTGCCTTATTTTAAGAAATGCCACAGCAACCCTGATCAGTCAGCATTCATCTCCAGTGAGGCAAGACCCTCCACCAACACTCACTGAGGGCTCCAATGATCATTAGCATTCTCTGGCAATATTTTTAAATGAGAATGTGTACATTTTTGTTAACCATAATGCTATTCTCCATTCAACAGACTGCAGTATAGTGCAACCATAACTTTCACATGTACTGGGAAACCAAAATATTTGTGTGACTGGCTTTACTGCAATATTTGCTTTATTGTGGTGGTCTGGAACTAAACCCACAGTATTTCCAGGGTATGCCTATATATCCTTGACTCCTTATGTGAATATGATACATGTGAAAACGAACCTAATAAATAACCAATTCAAACTTTGTAGATGATGAGTCTAAAACTATGTACTCTTATATATTACTTATTATATCCTTTGAGGAAACACACACAGCTTAACAAAGAATATGTAATGTACACAAATGCTAAGTAAATACTTTACATCTTTCAGATATACTGAGCTCTCTAAATTAAGAAAAGCCCTATCAGAAAATGTTTTTATCTCTTTTAAAAGGAGAAATTTCCCACTTTACACAGTAGCATTTTATAATGAAATACTAACGCAATTGTTTCAGTATTTGAAGATATTTTTATTTAGTTATAATTCTTTTGCCCAAAAAGGAGTTGAAAATAATCTTGTTGGAATCTTAAGCAGCATGAAAAAAATTAATAAAGCCTATAAACAAAAAGATGAACTATCCAACTATTTCACCAATGATGTTTTAACATAATTTTTGCAAAGGAAGAAAGGCTCAACAAAATACACGCCCTGCGTAAGTCAGCGAGGGTGCAAACTTTCCACCCAATTAACTCAGGGTCTGTTTCAGTTTTGAAAAGATCATAAGCTTTAAAAAAAAATTCCAGGTTGGCTGAATTTTTATGAGGCAGGAATGAAATACTGGAGAGAGACAGCTTCATGAACCAAAACAAGACGAAGATTGCTGAAAATATTACATATGGCTGTTGTAGGATTTATTCGCTGTCCCTGGAAAATCTGCAGAAGCTTCCTATTATCTACCCACACTTGCACCATGTTCTCCCAGTCTCCGTTTTAAGGCATACCCAGAGCAGACTTTGGAGCATTTCCAAGATTTTTAAAATAACTTTTAATACGCACTACATCAGTTCCTATACTCAAGTTCCTTTGGCCATTTGGATTTGCTTCGACCAGCACGGGATCACCCAGGTTTGCCACCCTTTCCACGACGCTCTTCGGGGTCTTCAAAGCTGGCACATCCGAGGCTCGGACACTGGGCTCTGGGCAATCTTTCCAGTCTTCCGGAAGCGCCCTCACGGGCAGACCGTGGACTGCCACGAGTGCGGCTGCGCACGACGCCAGCTCCACCGCCGCCGGGGCAGGGCCGACCCCCGACGGTCGGCTGGAGCTTCGGGGGCCGCGTCACCCGCACTTCTCACTGCCCTGGACGAGTGCTCCAAAGTCAGCTCCAGACACATCTCGCGGAGCTCTTCCGAAACGCGCGGAAGCTGGCGAAGAAGGCTCCCTGCCTCGCCTCGCCCCCCAGCCCGGCCTCGCCGACGGCCCGGAGCCCGCGGGCCGAAGCGCAGCTTGTCCGGGCACAGGCGGAGCACGCAGACCTCCGCCAGCCTCGCTGTGGCGCCGCTGCTGTGGATGAAGAGCTGTAGGCAGCCCTTGCTGATGATCTTGGCACAAAACCTCACGACGCCGCGACAATGGCGGCTCGGGTGCCGTCCCAGGGAAGAAAACGCAAGCCGCACACGCTTCCGGTCTAGGCGTGCTGCCCTCTCCACCCTCCCTCTCGCCCCAGCAGAGCCGGCACTAGGGTTCCGCCTGCCCTCAGGCCCGCCTCTGGCTGGGGCCGAGAAAGGCCGGCCTCCACCCCTCTCTCAAAAAGGCTTCACTGTTTCCACTCTGGTTATAAAAAGGATAGGCATTAAACCATTGCAGAAACTTGTGAATATTCTAAACAGTACGAAGACAATTAAAATCATCACTCATAACTAACCGCTTATAATCTCTTTGGTATATACACTGATAATGTCTTCTTCAATCAGGACATACATGCAGATATAGTTACATGCGGTTTATAAAATTGTAGCATACTAGGCATACATTTTACAACCTGATTTTTACACATACAGAATACAGGGTGTCCCAAAAGTCTCCATACAAAGGAAAAATTTTGTAATGAATATTCAGTAAATAAAGGTACATTTAGCTACAATTTCCCATTTTCCCTATGTATAGGAACTTCGGGGACACCCTGTATAATGGACATCTTTCATGTTGGTAAATACAAACAAATCTACATCATTTTCATGGCTGCTTGGTTTTCCACTGTACGAATGTATAATTATTTAATTAGTAATAACACAATTGACATTTAGATGTCAGTTTTTGCTATTTTGAACACAACCATGAACGTTTTTGTACACCATACTTTTGCCCATTTACCCAACTATTTCCTTGCATTAAATTCAGAGGAAGTGGTGTTCAAAGAATGCACATCTAAAATCCTTGTACGTATCACCACACTGGCCTGCGGAAAGCTGCATCGACACTCCAGCCACCAGCAACACTGAGTGTTAGTAATCCCTTTTATCTGTAGCAATCTGATAGGCAAAATAAAATAAATGGTTTCAATCTGCATTACGTATAAATTCCATTTTCATGGCCTTGGCATCTTTTTATTGGGTTTATTGTTTTTGATTTTAACATCTCTAGTAAGAACATTTAACGCTTTGTCCACTACATATACTGTAAAATATCTTCCCCAGTTTATCATTTGACTTTTCACATTGTTTATGGTGCTCTTTGCTCTTAGGAAATATTGAATCTTTTAATGTCAAAACTATTGACCTTTTTTTGCTACTTCAAGGGTCATGGTTCAAAGTCATGTTTCTGGTACTTTAATGTTATGTTTGTATCAGTGTAATTATCTGACTCGTGGAATCCACTGTGGAGTACTGAATAGCTAGTTGACACAAACTACCATTTCACTCAACAGTCCACTTTTCTCCACTGATCTGAAATGTCACTTTCATCTTCAACAATATTTCCCATTTTTGCCTGAGTCTGTTTCTGGAATCCCTGTAGTTTGTCCCACTGCCCTATCTTGCACCTGTAACAGTGATTTAATTTCTGTATTATATTTAAATACCTGATAGGACAATTAACCATTCACAAGTTCTCTTAGTCATTCTCTCACAGGTATTGTTCCAGAAGAACTTTACAATATTTTGTCAGATTCTAAAAATAATCCCCCTGGAAGTCTGATGGAAATTATTACCACTACCTTGACATACCATATTTAGACTTATTTGTTTATTGTCTGTCTCTAGCCACTAGAATATAAGTATCAGGAGAGAAGGTGTTTTTATCTGTTCCATACAATCCTGTACACCCAGTATTTAGAAATGTATCTGGCATATAACTGATGCTTAACACACATTTGTTAAATGAATTTACGAATTGTATGAAATGTCTAAATTGCTATAAAATGCTAAATTGTATGACATGTCTAAATTGCTAGATAATTTCAGGATATTTTTACATTGACTCTTCCCACTTAAATCATTTTTTATGACTGTCAGCAAATTGTTCAGCACTGTTCACAAGGGAAGTTCATGTAACACATTATCTTGAAGTCAGTCCATTCACTAAGCTTCTCTCACTGGAAATCATTTTTCAATTGATCTTTTATGGTTTTTACATAGAAAATCTTATTACTTTCATACACTACAATTTTGGCTCTTACTCTTCAATGTTTATTTGTCATTTACCTTAACTGCCTTACTGCATTTGCTGTGACTTCCAAAACACCTCTGAACAATAGCGGTATTTAGCAAGCATCTTTTTCTTGTTACTAATGGGAAATCCTGCAGAGCAATGTTTCCCAAACTGTCATTAGTGCCACCTGAGAAGTCTTCTTAGGTTTTTATTTTCCTAATCACCACCCATGAAATTTTAAAACCATAAATATATTGTACAGCTGTACTATGTACTATATGTATATCTTTATACATTAAGACTTTTGACCCCTCAAGAACTAATTTCCAATTATTCTCCCGGTTGAGAACACATGCCTTAACATTTCACCATTAACATGATGTTTGTTAAGTTGGTACTTTATGATGACACACAAAATATTTCTCTCTGTGTATTGGGAGTATATTTCTAAAATTAGGAATGGATATCAAATTTTATACAATTGGTTTTCAGCATCTTTCAAGATAATGTTTTTTTCATCTATTAACATAGCAAAGTAAGGTAATAAATGTACAATTATTGAATTAGTCTATATTATAGAAATAAGCATTAGTTGGTTCCATTTTCTAGTTCTTTAAATATTTCTGGATTTGATTTGCTAACATTTTATTTAGGAATTCTACATCTTTAATTTTATTTACAATTGGTGTAGAATTATATTCTTTGCTTCTGGTATCCGGAAGCATTCAGCAGTTCACAAATATTACTGAGCACTTCCTATATCTACAGCAGTATGCTCACCTTAAAAAAAGACTGACGTTCTCTATACTTGTCATCTTAGAGTAGTTTAAATAGTACAGGAATATTCTACAATATTCAGGAATATTGTAGATCTCCTGTAAGTGGCTTATAAAACCATCTATTTCTAGTGCCTTCTTGGGCATGAGTATTTAGGAATTCTATCATGGTTGTCTGTCCATATTTTATAAATCTTAAGACAATTTTAGTATTTTCTGAGAAAAGCCAGATACTTCATCGTCATTTCGAAATTTAATATACTATTTTTTTCCCATCACTGTGGTTTTATCCCCTTTAATTCTGTCTTGAGTATTTGTTTATCTATTTTCTCAAGGTTAGGCTTGTCGATGACTGTTTTATTGATCCTTTAAAGTAACAGTCCTTGCTGTAAGTTATCAATTCTACCTTCTTTGTTCAGAAGCATTATCTAATTCATCACTTGCAGCTTCCTCCACTTTCAGCTTAACTCCTCTTCCTTGCATTTTGCTGATTTCTTTCTACCTGTCTGGATTGAATACTGAGTTCATTTGTTTCAGTCTTTCTCATAGTAACATTTAAAGCCACCATTTTTCCTACCTGTAACATTGGTCATGTAACATTGTTAAATACAATTTACGGGAAGCCATTATTTGGCCTGAGCTCCTGCACTAGGCCCAACAGGCCAACCCAAAATGGAAATGCTAGGTTTCCAGGTCCCCAGATCAAAACCTAAGCTTTATATACCTGTGGGGCCTTCTAAGAAACCAGGAGTAAGACGGTAGTTAAATCCCCAAACAGGCCAGATGTGTGCTGGGCGGGAACAGGAGACGCACAGCAATCCAATCAGAAAGGGCCTAGTCAACCTCAATGAGCGTGATCAAGTCCCCTCTGCTATAACCCATACAAGGGAAAGTAGCCTAAAGCAGCCAGGTGTTAACCAGCTCACTTTCTTCCCTATGCTGTTTCCTTGTTCCTACTCAAGGTGCCTTACAAAAAGCTACTATTCTGCTACACCTGGTGGGGTGTCTGTCTATTCCGTATACTGGATGCTCTGCTAATAAAAGCCAATTAGATCTTTAAAACTCAGTTTGTTGAAATTTTGTTCTTTGACACCATAGATGTTAATATGCAATAGTTTGTTCATTTATAAATGATGTGTAAACGCAGTTATCTCCTTTTACTCGAGATTAACTTTAGAAAGCTTTAAAGAATTCCACACAGTTAAGTTTGTTATTGAACTTCTGCTATTACATTCTAGTTGTTATTTATTACTATATCCCGGTTATTGTTTATTTACTTCGTTTTTGGCACTGTGCTCCAAGAATGTGGTCTGTAAATGTCCTAATTTGGGGAATGCACTGAGGTTTCTTTTGTAGAATCCCTTTATTTACTTACTCAGTGAGCTTCCCTGATACACATTTTAGATCAGAAGTCAGCAAAACACAGCCATCCAGGCAAATCCAGTCTGCCGCCTGTTCCTGTAAATAAAGTTTTATTGGAACACAGCCAGGCTCATTCAATTCCATGTCATGTATAGCTGCTTTCTCACTACAACAGCAGAGTTGAGTAGAAGCAACAGAGACTTCATGGCCAAAAAAAGCCTCAATACTATGTGGCCCTTTGCGGAAAAAGTATGCCAATCCCTGTTAGGGGATGGCAGGTCAACCTCTCTCCCGACACCATTCTCACATGACACGTTTTCAGGAGAGAATGTCAGAACCACTGGCGCGTATACATAAAGGCATCCTGGAAGTCGTACGGATGCAAAGCTGAGCAAGTGATGAATATTATTTATGCTTACAATGGAAATTTCAAAAACTGTTTGGGCATCCCTTTCAGAAAATTAAGGTCTATTAAATCATATCATCGTATAAAATAGAGAAATTTGGTGCTCTGCTGTTTTGTTTTGGCACTTTACAAGGTTTTTTTTCCTTTTTTTCTTCTTTTTTTGAGTTATATTAGGTTTACAGAAAAAATGAGTCAGAATTACATGTATCTACCATCACAGTATCATACGAAGTAAATTTTAAAATAGAGAAATTTGGTGCTCTGCTGTTTTGTTTTGGCACTTTACAAGGTTTTTTTTTCTTTTTTTCTTCTTTTTTTGAGTTTTATTAGGTTTACAGAAAAAATGAGTCAGAATTACATGTATCTACCATCACAGTATCATACGGAATACTTTCACTGCCTTAAAAATCCCATTTTTTCTCCTCTCTTAGCATATCAATTATACTTTTTTTTTTCAACTTTCTTCCAGTGGTTATCCTAGAGTTTGCAATATACATTTATAACTAAACCAAGTTCACTTTGAAATAACACAATCCCACTTCATGGGTAGTGTAAGAACTTTCTAACACACTTTCTCCTTCCCATCCTTATAACTGTCATTCATCTTACTTATCAATCGGCTATAATCACCTAATACTTTTTTTGCTGTTATTATTTTGAACATTTTGTCAAATCAGTTAATAAGAAAAACTAAGAATTGCATTTTATCTTCATTTATTCTTCTCTAATGATCCTCTTTTCTTTACGCAGATCTGAGTTTCTGACCTACATCATTATCAATGCTCTGCTG